GATTTAAAGAACAGAAGGTTCAGAAGTCCAAAAAAATGGGTGCTTCATCGAGTTCTTCGCCATAAAAGAAAAATAGAGAATGAGATTCTCTAACTCAGGATATGTTGGAATTAGATGTTTTTACTGATAGAAGATCAAATTTCAGTCAAGTCAGGCAATGTTCATATTGTGGAAAGAATCATACAGGGGTATGTAGAGTAATCTCAAGAGCTTGTTTTAGATGTGGGGATGTTGGACATTTTATTTGAGATTATCCAGTTATGACTGAGGAGACAGTATGGAGAGAAAGATCTATTGCGGTATCTCAAAGAAATAGAGGTAGAGGTCGTAGAAGAAATCAATCGGAGTCATTCACTCAATATGAGATGCAACTAACTGCACAAGTTTATAATTTAAGGATCGATGAATATGTTGAGGATCCAGAGATTCTTGCAGGTAAATCTCAACATTATGGTAAAATAGTTAGTTTTAATAGATTTGGAAATCAACATAGTAGTTGGTAAGTGGCAATTAGAAAGATAATTGAAATATTTGATTTGAAGCAATAAGTAATGAATTGTTAGAGATAAATAGGATATTGTTTCCAAGTGAATATGTTGTGTTAAGTTTGTATATAGTATGAGTAAAAGAAATATGTATAGAGTAATATATATGAGTATAAGGTTAATAGTAAGGGTAAGATAAGAATTGCTAAGTATTATAAAAGATTGCTTCATCTCATGGTGAAATGAAAATTCGAGGATAAATTTTCTTTAAAGAATGGGAGATTCGTAACATCCTGAAATTCGGGTCAGTGATTAAATGAATTTTTTTTGAAATTTAGGGATCAATTTAAGAAAATTGAAAAGTTCAAGGATTTAAATAGGAATATTTCAGTATTGGATTAAAGGGTTAATATGAAAGGATTATAAGGGTGGTATGGTAATTTAACTTGTAGGATATTTTTTATCTCCATATTTAGGGAGATAACACGATGGAGAGAGGAAAAAGCTCCAGAAGCTTATTTTCTTTCTTTCTTTCTTCTTCATTTCGTGGCTCCATCTCCCAAAGGTAATTTGATTTTAAATGGTTAATTTCTTAAATTTATAGGTTGGGTTGGAGTAATTGGGTATTATATAAGCTTAAAACACCAAGAAGAGAATTAAAAATGAATTTCTATTAAGAGTTTAGAAATGAACTTTTGATATAGAAAAGTTTTTGAAGTTCTAATGATGAATTTGACTTGTCAAGGTTATAATTAAAAAGGTAGAGGTGATAGAAATGAATTTATAACACATGGAAAATTTGATGAAATTCTTTGATCCAAGAATTATTTTTAGTTATGAGAAATGGTGAAGTGTTATAGTGTTATAAGAAGGTTTAAATATGTATATATAAGTTTTAAGGCATAAGAAGGGCTTAACAAGTAAAATTGGGGGTAAAGTGTTGAATTTTCGGGTTGAAAATGACCATTTTGGGCCTAGTGTATCGGTACCTTTGGGAGAGGTATCGATACCTTATGAGTTGAATATGCGTATTTATATGAATGTGTATCGGGACACTGAGGAGTGTATTGATACCCTCAAAACATCGAATGTAATTAGTGTATCGATACATAAGCAGTGTACCGATACACTAGTGAAGGGATGTATCGATACCCTATAGTGCTTATCGATACACTTCAAAGGGAAACTAGAAATGAATCTTTCTTTTAATCCAAGAAATGATAGATTAAAGTATATCAATTGGATACTGATAAGTATTAATACATGATTGTGTAGAAATTGATCGAAAGTAAAGTTCAGATAGGTCGGCAAAGTAAGATACGCAAGAAAAAATAAGATCTTGGTAGTGTTCATTGTGACCAGGTGAGTACATGATATTAAGTGTACGTTATGTTAGGGAATTAAGATTTACGATGAGTCTAATTCCGATATTATGTGATATGAGTACTGAAGCATAAACATGTAGTGATACGGTGCTAGATATATTGTATATGGGTAAATGCATATGTCTAATTGTCGAATGCATCTTTATATTTGAACTATGTAAATGCATGTATATGTGATAATAAGCTATGTGATCATAAGAGATAAGATATATGATAAAATATATATGAAAGTAATATGACTCATATGTGTTCTATTAGAATGTTACATGATATGCTATGTATGTTAAGTGAGAGATGTTTATACATGTTAGTGTAATAAGCTAGGTTAAATGTTATAATTGAATAAAGGGATTGTATGAGAACATGTATATGTGTTAATATATGTTATGAGATAAAAATCATAACTATAAGCTATGTGAAAAAGAAAACAAGTAAAAGTGAATAGTTATATGATACGTGAATGTGAATTACATGGAAATATGCTACATGAAAGTAAACTATGTGCCTATGTGAAGATGTGAAATGATATAACAGATAATGCCCATGTCATGTGTTATGAGAGCTATAGGTATAGTTGGCATGCCAAGAGTCGAGGGTTCTACGTGGTCCTTCGGGACATATTTGTTCTATGTGGTCCTTCGGGATATATTGGTCCTTTGGGACATAGTGGTCCTACGGGACAAATTTCTACGCACCCCTAGTGGGATTTATACGAGCTGTGGTGACAGCATTGTGCACAACCTCTATGTACTCATATACCTTCAGTTCTCAAAAGTATACATGGGCTCTAAAGAAATAAATAACTTGCTATGATAATATGTGTGATCTTTTGTGAAATGATATATGTGTTATTGGGCGTATACAAATGATAAGTTGGATATCATATGATAATAGGAATGAGGATAATAATAATGAGTGCATATGTATAGTTGCAATATGAAGTAATATGTGTAATATATGCTAGTAAGAATGTTAAGTGTAAGAATAGATAACTAAGAGGTAGGAATAAAGATAATATGGATAATGATATGAGGTTATTAATAATAATAACAGGATCTGTATAGGTGTACTTTTCATTATATGTAATGTTATATTGTTTTGTGTGATAGTATGGTATGATGTTGTGTTACATGATATATATATATATATATATATATATATATATATATATATATATATATATATACATATACATGCATTTGTTAGTTTACTTTAGGTATTTACATGTCTCACTAAGTCTATGACTTAGCGTGTAATTGTCTTACACTTAGGTGTGGATAAGTCAGAAGATCAAGCTTCGGTTCAGCAGAGCAACATATCTCCGCTCAAAGTTCAGATCAGAAATATTTGTAAAGTATGTTCTGTTATATAAATTAGTATGTTGGCATGTAAACCAAGTTACTATGAATGTACGCTCTGATGGAGTTTGATAATGGTTAAACTTGTTTAGGTAAAATATTAACTTTATAGAAAGGAAGTTTTAAATTTTCTATGGTTTTTTATACAAGTACATGCTTTGACTAGTCAATGTGACACCTCAGATTCGTATCCGGGTCAGATACGGGTTGGGGGTGTTACACCCTTGATTTTCTCAGGGGTAGGGCATGGTGAGAGTTAGCAACTTTGGTGCCAAAGGTTTGACCATAGAAAGCTTCCATGAACCTTCAGCTTGTCCCGCGGCCAAAGGGCTCCCCATGAACTTGCTACTTCTTCTCAATGTTGTAGGTGATGTCTTTGATAGGTTCCTAAACTCTAGCAATAGAGAAAACAACCTTGAATATCATGCCTTCCTGGCATCCCGTGCTAATGATGGTTTGTCAATTGTACAATTGTTGACACCAAAAGTAGACCTATAGAGTGGTGTTGTCGTGTGTGAATCCGATCGGAGGGTAGTGATGGATACTCGCCTTTTAGGCTGAATGAATTGAGTATTGGATGTTAGAGGTTTGATGGCAATGGAAGAACGCCTTGGTTTCAAAAGGTTTTTTCTATTTGTCTTTGCGGTTTCAGAGTGGTTTTCTTTTTCGTTTGACGATGCTACCATTGACATTCTCGATGTCTTTCTGTTGGTGGCCAAAGGTGATGCCGGGGGTATGAACATTGCTTTCGATAGGCCGAGTGTTTAGAGAGGTGGGAGAAAAAAGAAGAAGAATAAGAAGAAAGAGAAGAAGAAGAACATAGTTAAGGGTAGGTTACATGCCACATCAGCAAAAACTAAAGGAAGGAACCAATGAGACTTTACGGAAAATGAACTAAAAGTTCGATGACTATATTGCAAGTTTTAAATGTTGGGTGACCAAAATGCAAGCACCCTAAAAGTTTGGGGACTATTTATATACTTTACCCTAATTAAAATACAATACTATAAAAGAATACGATAAAGCGAATACACGTAAAATAGGGCTTCCTCGCCCAAATAGAGCGTTAGAATTTTTTTCCTGGTATAGAGCTCTCACCAAATTATTTCCTAAACTATGGTGTTTTCTACAGTATCAAGGCAATGACACATGATAATCCATGCGATTTCATTTTTTTCACTTTGTAGAGAAAAAAAAATTTGGGAGAAGGAGAATTGGGTGAAAACGCGAGATAATCTTAGAGTTTTCTCTAAATTACGGTTAAAAACACCCTAATTTAAAAAATAATTACTTAAATGGACTATTTAAAGAATTTTTTTCTTCAACACATTATCTCAGCCATATACGTTTATCAAAAATAAACACAAACAAAAATGATGTGTAAATCCAGAAAACCAAACCAAAAATGTGCACGTGCAAATCTGCCGATACCGAACCGCTGTCGCTCCTCCGAACTCTCAGAACTGAAGGGCCATTCTCGTAATTTGAAGTCAAACCCACGTCCAGTTTCCCAATGCCTCACTTTTAAATATCTCCTTTTCTTTCTTACGGATGCATCCGCCTCCAGGGTCAAGACAAGATTCCTTTCTCGCAGATTAATAGCCAAATTTAATTTAATTTATATTTCATAAATATATTACCAATCTCTTCGCTTTTCTCAAGAAAGCTGATCCGTTTAATTGCTGAAGTGAACGCTATATAATATAACCCAATTTGTTTTTTTTTTTTCATTTCTGTTTGATTTGTAATTGCGGATTTTAGTCGTTGCTGCGATGGGAAAAGTAGCAGTGGGGGCGGCGGTGGCATGCGCGGCGGCCGTGTGTGCTGCGGCGGCACTTGTGGTGCGTCACAGGATGAAGAGTTCGGGGAAGTGGGCTCAGGCTATATCTATACTGAAAGAGTTCGAGGAGAAATGCGGAACCAATATTTCGAAGCTGAAACAGGTGGCGGATGCTATGACTGTGGAGATGCACGCCGGGCTCGCATCGGAAGGCGGCAGCAAGCTCAAGATGATCATCAGCTATGTTGATAATCTCCCCACTGGGTAAATCAACCAAACGACTCAATGAACTGACTTTTCCCCCTTTCCAAACTTAGCTTCCATTACTTTTGGAACGATCTGTTTCTTTTAAACGTTTCAATTGATTCCATAAAGACGGTCCATTCATTGATTACAGAAGCTAACTAAATTACAATAAGATGCTTTGGAGATTAATGTTTTTTCTGTTTTAATTAAGACGGTAGATCTTATAGTTTTCATAATATTTTATATTTATATTAATTTTTGCGGAATAGAATCAAATGTATATTATAGATGTTTATAAAAATATTTATAAAAAAATCAAATGATAAGTTTTTAAACTCTTATAATTAAGAAATTATACTTTTAAAATAAAAAATAGCTATGAACCTTTTCTTTAGTTATATTAGCATTATCTCGTATCTAATTGTTCAATCTTATGAACTTTATGCTTGATTTGTTCTTCCATTGAAGTGGATGGTTTATCGATTAAGCTTGTGGAGAAATTATTTTTACATAAGACTTTACAGATTGCTGAACCAAGTGTGACGGTGATGGGATTCGAACTTGTTCTTACAAGCTCAAATTCCTGAATCCCAACCACTTGTGCCAACACTCGTTGGCTGCATGTAAGGGGTATATTCCCTTCTATGTTGACTTTATCTTATGATATCTTCAATGTGAAAGAATTTGCTTGATGATCAGTAAATTCTGCTTTAAAATTAACTTTTTCTTTAGATTACAATATTCTAAACCATCTTTATCAACATTCAACTGAAAAGAGGTGGTAATTTTAATAATGGATAACCTTAAACATAATTCTCGACTGTCCATTTTTGCAGGGTTGCCAAAGATTCTAATTTTCTAAATTCTTACTTTGGTAGAAAGCTCAACTAATATCTTTCATTTTTTATGTTTTTAACTTTCCAGTGATGAGAAAGGGCTGTTTTATGCTCTTGATCTTGGTGGCACAAATTTTCGTGTGCTACGTGTACACTTGGGTGGTAAAGAACACCGTGTTGTTAAGCAGGATTTTGAGGAAGTTTCAATTCCTCCACATTTGATGACAGGATCTTCCGATGTGAGACCCTTCTCTATCCGACTTGGTAGTATTTTATCTGCTCTATGATACTTATTCTCTCTGAAAATCTCAATGATGTGATTGCAGGCATTGTTCGATTTTATTGCTTCAGCTCTTGCAAAATTTGTTGCTACAGAGAATGAAGGTTTACATTTTTCACCTGATAAACAAAGGGAGCTGGGGTTTACTTTCTCGTTTCCTGTTCGGCAGACATCAGTATCGTCTGGGACTCTTATAAAATGGACAAAGGGCTTCTCAATAGATGATACAGTTAGTTCTAGTAACCTTGACTCCAGTTCTGCACCATTTTTTAGTAGTTTTGATATTGGGTCGCTAATTTTCTTTATTTCCTTTTGTCCACATTTCATGGAATTTGAACCTCATCCTTGCCATTATTATTCTAATTTTTTCTTTTGCGAGTTGAAGGCATGATGATATTATTTTTCCACTTTTCCTCCTTAAAATCTTAGAATGTTTTGCTACTAGGCTATGTTTGTGCAACTAAGATGTTCACAATTTGTACGGACAGATAAACTTATAGACATTTAACTTTTTAGTGAACAACCTGATCGAGGACAAATTCTTCTTATAGATGGTCTGGATGGCATACAAGTGATATTCAGAATTTTGTATCGCAATGACCCTTTTCTATATATTATCTCTTGGAGTGTCTATTGATGATCTTAATGTTCCTTCCGGATGGTACTTGTAGGTTGGTCAAGATGTTGTTGGAGAATTGACGAAAGCCATGGAAAGGATTGGCCTCGATATGCGTGTGACAGCTTTGGTAAGCCTAATTTGTTTCTACTGTTGGGTGTGCTTTTCTCATTTCTCATAGAGTGATGAGACTGGTTCTTCTACTTGGATGATGGTTTTAGTTTGTGTTCCGAATTCTCTTGTGGAATATGTAGGTAAATGATACGATCGGCACGCTGGCTGGTGGAAGATACAACAACCCAGATGTTGTTGCTGCTGTGATATTGGGTACGGGAACAAATGCAGCTTATGTAGAGCGAGCCCATGCAATTCCCAAGTGGCACGGTCTTCTACCTAAATCAGGGGACATGGTAAGCGGTGTTAAGATATATGCTCTCCACTTCTGTCAAAATCTGATACACACTTGACTCTTAATAGCAACCTAACTATTACCTTGTGTTGAGTTATGAATCGTTTTCTTCGGTTTTGCAGGTAATCAACATGGAGTGGGGTAACTTTCGGTCTTCACACCTTCCAATTACGGAATACGACCAAGCTCTAGATGCTGACAGTCTAAACCCTGGAGAACAGGTCACTTTCTTCAGCCCAAGTTTCTATTTCCGACTTCTTATATTTTTATACTCTAGATGTGACTTTATTAACTACTGTTTCCAGATCTTCGAAAAAATTATCTCTGGTATGTATTTGGGAGAGATTGTACGTAGAGTTCTGTGCAAGATGGCTGAAGAAGCTGCATTTTTTGGTGATACTGTTCCGGCGAAACTGAAAATTCCATTCATACTAAGGTATGTCTTTATTACTTTCACCGGTTAGAATTCACTAGGTGTGCAGTACTGTAATTTTTCCATGTGTTTTGCAATGGAACTTAGATTCATGTAGCTTACTATCTCATCTACACTCAAATATGAGCCTTTGGTTGCAAACGCATCATTGGCTGACTGGTAGACCCTCATACTTGGAAGATAATAACAAGTAGAGCCGTAACCTGACCCAATCTCAGTCTGATCTAATCCAGTTTGGTCACTGAATTTTTGGAAGCTTATATGTATTGGACCATGGTGCTTGTTTGTGTTCAATTTGAATCAGTAATATAATCGTTTACAATATTTAGTATAGCAATCTTCGACTTTTGGATGTGATGAGAACTATGAGATTGCTTAACATTTATTTGTTGATTCCGCAGAACTCCGCACATGTCTGCAATGCATCATGACACTTCTCCGGATCTGAAAATTGTCGCGGCAAATCTAAAGGACACCTTGGAGGTAGAATGCAGTAGATGTTTTACAAATATATAAATTCTATAAATCATTTCCGTCGCTTTGCTTTGAGTTTCTTGAAGGATAGAGATTTTCCATGTGATTTTATCATGTTGATTAACGTCTTTAATAGGGTTTTCTTGTATTTTTGTTATCTTTCCTTTGTTTTGATTTCAGATATCAAATACTTCCCTGAAAATGAGGAAAGTAATTGTTGAGCTATGCGACATTGTTGCTTCTCGTGGTGCCCGCCTATCTGCTGCAGGAATTGTCGGCATCCTCAAGAAAATCGGAAGAGACACTGTGAAAGATGGTGAAAAGCAGAAGTCGGTGGTATCCCTAGATGGTGGTTTGTATGAACACTACACTAAATTCCGAACCTGCATGGAGGACACCCTCGTGGAGTTGCTAGGTGAAGAAGTCTCCGACAACATCATCATCGAGCATTCCAATGATGGCTCCGGCATTGGGTCAGCACTCCTAGCAGCCTCTCACTCGCAATACACTGAGGCTGACGAATCTTAAAGACAGCCAAAGTATATCAAGGTTTTGCAAACTATTGTGATTTTGTATATTTTCAGCTTTTGCAAACTAATTGCTCTGTGCATCTACCAATCCAAGGTTCGTCCCGCCGAATCCTTAAGTTATGCTCATTTGGAGTGTATAATCGGGTAATGGATCAAATATCATGAGTGGTTGTAGCAGGAAGCTGGTGGCTCCAGCTTATCACTCGACTCGATTCATTCACGGTGTTGGACGATCAATATCGTTTTGTGCAAGTACTGGCCTCCTAGATAATAAGGTAGTATAACAAGGGAACACAAATTCCTCTTTTGAGTTTTTGAGGATCGAGAATAAGAAGTAACCTAATATTTTAAATGGTCATTTTTTTCGTCTGAATTATTTGCGTTGATTGAGTTTAGTGGGTGTTGAAATGGTAAACTAGATGTTACAATACCCAATAGTTTGAAAATCAAAATATATATGGACATAGATATTTCTAGCAACGATATTTCCATGGACAGCGGATCAACTAAATACCATGTTGTCGCTTCTAGTAACGATGTTTCAGTTCCTTCCGCTCACCAATTCGATCTCCGTGATGTTATGACAATGCCGGAAAATAGGCATCAAACTGTTGTCCGTTTGGTCTCTTGACATGCCGGTGGTTGATCATTCAACCGGTAATTGCTCGATCTGCATGGTAAGTTTGTTGCAGTCCGAGGGAGCTGCTTCGAGGTGAATTTTGTGTGGCCATGTTCATCACCATGATTAGGGGTGCTTATCGAACGAGTCAATCGCGAGTTGGGCAATACTCGACTCGTGCTCGTTAAAAAATTTTGCTGCTCGAATGGAATTGTTGCTCGTTAAGCTCGTTAAAATTGTTCTCGACTCGTGCTCGTTAAAAAAAGTATTGTTAAACTCAACTTGTTGCTCGTTAAACTTAACTCGTTGCTCATTAACTTCAACTCGTTGCTCGTTAAACTCATTAAAAAAAATTACCTTATTTTTTTTTTAACTAAAACTAAAATTTATTAATACTATATGAGGATATTAGGGTTGGTTTTTTTTGGTATTAAAATAATATTATTAATTAATAATATTTTATTATTTATTAAAAAATAATAGATTAGTTAACTTATTATTTTTTATTTTTTTATTATTTATTAATAAATTAATAATTATTATTTAGATTTATTTTTTGAATGAAATAATTTTGAAGTAATTACTAAAAATATATTTTAAAAAATTAATGAGCTGCTCGCGAACTTAACGAGTCCAGTTAGATTTTATTCGGGTCAGCTCGTTAAAATCTCGAGTCAAACCAACTTGAGTCGAACGTTTACTGAGTTTTGATCGAGTCGAGCTGCTGACCATAGCAATTCTTGCCCCCTTTGCGGCCATGAAATTTCCGCGTACTGGTACGATGCTACGTTTGAAGCATGTTCATTCTATTTTGTTTGTTTTTGCTTTTACATGGTGAGATTAATGCAACATATTGTTTATTCTTTACATTTATATCTTTTATGTTTTAAACTATTTGTATTTGACACACATGTTTAATTACATATGCAAAAATGATGTAAGTGGATATGTGGCATTTGAAATTAGAAAACAAATAATGGATTGATTATTTTGTAAGAATATTTATTGAATTTATCCGTATGATGTTTTGATATGATGGACTCACTTGATTTAATGGTATAAAAAAATTAAATTGATGAATTTTTAAATATAAAAGATTAAATTTATAGAATATATACGGTTTTGAATACAAAAATTATTATTATATCAAATCAAATTAAACATCTATTTCAATTTTAATAATGGATTGTGGATTTTTCTACATGATAAGCCAAGGGATAAGCCAGGAATTCATGGATGCAGTATTTACTCAAAGCAACAACCTTTTTATTTGCCATTAAATGGGAAAAAATGAAACTTTTGAGGAATGAGAAACACAGAGGATACATTCCAGTGCTTGATGAGCTTCTTCACCCTGATAATCAAGTTCATAGTTAGCAATATAGCACCCTAATCCAAAATGATCCGAAGATTGATGGATTAATGATTACACAGGACTACTGAAGTGGTTAACTCAAAATATAAACATAATATTCAGTTTACAAATATGAGGAGCTCCCAAAATACATCCCAACGTTTCAAATAATGTATTTCAAAATAGTGATGAATCAAATACATGAAGGTATATGAATAGTATATTCCCTCTAATAAGCATATCAAGACGTACTCTATTGTTTTGCTAGGTCTGAAAAATTCGCCGTGCGATAAGCTCCTTGATGCTCCTCCTAAGAACCTGCATATGAAAACAAATTCTGAACACTGATACGCCCACTACATGATCATGCTAGTAAATAGAATCATTATCATACAAGTATGCTAAGCTAAATGCACATAATGAGGTAGGTATCATGGTGTGGTTGGAGGGTTTCGCTGTATCTCAAGACACACACCACTCTAGCCTACTTAAAGTGAGATCCAAAATTTCTGCATCGAGAACATACATCGGGCCAACCTACTCCTTGCGAGTACATGAGGCATATGTGCTTGGCCAGCAATTGAAGTGCCTTGCGAACTGATTGGGACATGTCCTGTAACGCCCCATACCCGATCCAAGATACCGAGCCAGATACTTGAGCGTACATTAGGTTTCAATCATGTTGGACGGATCAGGATCCACATTATGCACATTTTACGGAAGCAAACCATTTAAAATTTATTAAACATTCATCGACATGTGACGTTCAATGTAATTAACATGCAATCGAACTTTCAATTAAACATGTAAAAGTTACATTTTAACACATAAGGATAATTTAGTCATTTCACATCACACAACAAATCGACAGTCAATTTACACAATTAAGGTTACCACAAGTTAAACATAATCATAATTGAGCAACACGCAAAATTACAATAGAATTGGACATCAAATGATCACCTAATTGATAATACAAATTTAAGGACTAAAATATAAATATACAAAACTTATGTACCTAACAATAGCATACAATTGACCAGTCCAATATGTAATTAAGTATGTTCAAGAGTGTTTACTTAAATCTTATCAAATTCTGAGATAAGAGTTAAAGTAATTAAGCATATTGATTTTAGGACCAAATTGAACTTATTTAAACATGATGAAGTCAAACAAGACTCACAAACACTTTTGCCCTTTAATGAAAACAATTTCCCAACTTTTCCTCGAATTCACAGAGAAGGGATCGATCCTTTTCCCCGAGGGATCAATCCTATGTTGGATAGAAACTTTGGGATCGATCTTTTAGATCGAGGGATCAGTCCTTTTTAAAAGGGATCGATCATTTTTCTAGAAAAGTGCAGAAGTCACAAGAACATGCATATTTGACTTGATAAACAATCACATAAAAGTAAATATAGACTAGGATCATGCTTGGAAACTATCCAACCACTTCATACAAGTCAAAACAAAGGTGTATCATGCTTCATAACACAAGTTAACACGTTATTCATGGATTTGGCACCAAAAGTCAACAATTGCATAAACTTTCATTTTAAACACAAGTCACCTACTCATTTTTGGCTTTTAAGGTCATATCATGCATCCTAGGAGCCTAAAAAATTTAGTTTACCAAGTTACACTTGCCTACGAACTCCAAACACTTCTCTAAGGACTAAATCAACATTTGAGTATTCATAAGCTTTAGTTAATTTTTTTTTGCATAACATTCTCAAATCAACATATTATACCATCATCAATCTTCAAGTATAAAGCAAGTGTTATAAGTCTAGTCCATACATCAAAAGTCATCAATACCACATATATGCCTAAGTCCCAAACGTCACCCACATTGCCACACTTAGCTTTCCGAAAACACATACACTTCATTGAACCTTTGCCTTTCTTTATCACTCCCGATGCCAAGTCTCTCACCTCCACTCGATTCCATTACTCTGAAAAGTGTTAACAATGAGTGTGAACTATTAAAACCCAATGAATGACAATCATTTGAAGATAATGCGCATAGTCAAGATGAAGCATAACCCTATATGCTCATGTTTAATATGCCCTTACCTCGTCGCACAAGTAACATTTGACTTGCTTAAATGATCAATCATTTACTCTAAATGCACATAATTTCCAGAATTTACCAATGTTACATAATTACTTAGGTCATGGCATTCACAAGCACTCATGCACAATTACCTTCCTTGGAAAAGAACACACAAAACACACATACTTTCATTTTAAGATTAATGACCTTTGTTCAAAACACAACTCACTTATTGGATAAACGGACTCCATACAACTCCTATTTTGTTTACAGACTCACATAGGCCCAAAACCACGAAATACAAAGAAAAGCTCTACGCCCAACCAAACCTTGTATCTTCTCAAAGAAAAGCTCAATGTACCAACCAAACCCCCTATAATCCCGAATCGCATACGCTTATAAAAAACACATAGAGTACTCATTCCTAGGCATGCCTTTCATATCCAAAGGTCCCATTAAGAAAAAATAGCCAATTAATCTGATTCACCAAGAGCGGTTGTCAATGATACATAGTTTTCATATATTGGTTCAAATAAATTTTGAAACACACTTACATACCTACATATATGGATAGTGAGAATGTTCATCTTGTCCAATCACATATTCATATTATACACTTTCGCTTTAAACACACATCAGAATTGGTGATCATGAGCAACTCACATATTCATAATATATATAGATTTTTGGAACTCGCTTTCAAAATCCTATGCATCACTTGCAACACAACACAACACAACACAACACAACACATTCACATTTCACATTCATATTCCCCAATTCCGATATATGAGGCATCGTAAACAATTCAACATAACTCTTATTTCATATTCACATTTTTATATACATGTCATCGCATACAAATTAACATAACTCATATCATCATCAACATCATTATCCAAATCACATAAACATATCAAAATTAATCAAATGCATCAACTAGATAAACCTCAACCTTGAATCATATCCATTTCTAAGAATGAGAGCCATTCACCTTGCTATCTAAAAATAAAAAAACGCTCTCAAACACTCACCAAACGCGAAGCAC